TGACTTTAGGATTGACCGGAGTTCGAGTTTTTACAGTGACATATACATTTAAAAAACAAAAGTTAAATTCTTCAAGCAATCTACAGCTCTATATAAACTTTAAAGCAAATTATAAACTAACTTAGTAGCGACGCTATTTGCGATAGGCGTGCCGAAGACGGCCTCACTTGCCTGCCGTCCTCCCACATCACTCACTGACACCCGCTCCCCCTGCGCTATCCACTGCTCCTTCACAAGAACACTCACAGCACTTTCACGTAACTTCTGAAATATTATACTATTACTAACATTTTGACAAACAAATGGGTAGTTTTTACTGCCAAAGCAAACGCTTCCCTTTGTATATTCCCTAGAAATAAACATTTGTAGGGAATATACAATCTACAAATTGTTATCTTTCTTATTAATATTGTGAATGTTTGGATGGATGGATTGATGAATATGTTTGTTTGAAGGTATCTCCAGTCACTGCATGGATATCTATGAAGTTTGATATAGATGTAGAACACAGTCATTATTCACATAATAATATTACATAAAATGGACAAAATATTGTCTATGCACAACTTACATTCCATGCTAATGTTGCCACATTACTTCTTGCCTCAGCTTTACTGGGCCCAGTAGCTTGTGCCACAAGTTTACCATCCATTGTCAATGTGAAACATTTATTCTCATACTTGCTTACCACTGGCACATGACACACACTGCAGCTAGCTGAAATAATTCACTGGTACACATAAAAAAAACAAGAGCCCTCCATGGAGACTTCTTTATTTATCTATTGTCTATGATACTTGTGCAAAAAGGTATCAAAAATATTTAAGTCATTGAATTAAATTTGCAAATATTTCACATGAAAAGTAAATGCAATACAGTCTGAATGTATGTTGTCAGCTTAATTATATTATAGTCGTCAGGTTGTCATATCCCCTATGAAAATGGTAGGAAATTAACATTTTTGTATTTTTTATTCAAAACTGCTTTATGTGACCAATAAATTATTTATGACCATTGAAATCTATAGGCTTGCACTCATTTGCAGCACTAAGACTTTTTGTATTAACAATTAAGTATTCTAAGATTTATTTTAACAATGAATAACCTACCTTGTATGTTAGATAATTTACTAGTCCATGGTCTTATTAGCAATATCATTCTACCAAAATCAGTATGAAACATCCCTTCATGGAATTTTGTAACATCTAAGCACTGCATACTGGTCATTTCCTTAAAGTAGTCATGGGAATCAGTGATCTCTGAACTTTTCTTATCATTTTGTTGTTTGCATTTGTCATTATCCAGTTCATTTACTGTCTGGGGTTCATCCTCTGAGCCGCTATCTTTAGAGTTACTATGTCCTTGGGGTACAAAATTTATTTTCTTAGATTTTGTTGATGGGCCATCGTCTATTACTCCTCCTTTACGTTTAACCCCTTTAGCTCGGTCTTCAGCAGCCGTAGAAGCTGATACAAATGTTCTTTGTAACTTGTTTAGTCTTGATTTCCGATAGTTGGTAGCAACCTTTTGAAACATTATTAATATTTTACATTAGAGACTTAAAGATTACTGTTAATTGCCTCCACACATACTGTAGCGCATAATGTTATACTTACATCTTTCGCTAGTCTAGAAACTTCTAGCATTACTTCTGCTGGATATCTACATCCCATAAATTCCATATTAGCAAAGACTCGACCCAAACAAACCAATCTTTCTTCGGGATAATCATGTTTCCAACGCTCCATAAAAGCTTTCCTTAGGTTCCAATGATCTTCGCTTTCGTGGTCTTCTTTATATTTATCTACACTCCAAGATACATCAAATGACATTTTTACTTGTTAGTCAACTTAAGTAACAATTTATCAGATATGGCAAAAAATTATTGACATATTAAATATAAATAAATATTTAGAAATTAAATGCAGCGGTATTGATTGAGCCATTAACCCATTTTGGCAGATGACAGATGTTAGATTTGATTTGACAAATCACAATGTCATAAATTTCAATTAGAATAAGTTGAAGTGTTTAAAGAGAAAATCAGAAAATTCAATCGTCGAATGATACTGCGTTATATTTGTTATAGACGAGTAGAATTTATTTTTTCACTGTCTTAAATTGAAATAACAAAGTGGTCTTCTGCTTCATTTACGGTTTTTCACCGTTATATTTACTCTTTGGTCACGATTTGTATTGGCGGTATTTGTGTTGTCAATTAAATATTATAATATTGGTAAAGTTGAGGTGGAGTGGAATGACTTTGTTCATTAGCTAATTTTTCAGTATTACCTTGCTTTTAACTTAAAAATCTAGTGTATCTTTGCTATGGTACGCATTTTACTACTTAAAAGTAATCTGAGTATACCTATTTGGTTGTTCGAGCAAAAATAATAAACATACCTCAAGAAAAGCCATTTTAACGAAAATCTCAGGAAAAAACTTTAAGTCCTTATTAGTTTGGATATTATGAATCATGAACACATAATTTTTTTGTTCTATAAGTAAGTATTTAAAAGTGCTAAACTTGTCACTTATACTTGATTTCAACGTATATTCAGTCACATCATATTTAATTTTTTTCTTTATGTAGCAGTGTTGTAAGTAATATTAGATCTGTTTTGTGTCACATTATTCATCATAAATCAGTTTATCATCATCACTTCAGGTTGTGGCCAACTGCAGAAGAAGACCTTTGTGAGGACCTAAATGAGTTATCTTCATTCTAAAAATTCTGTCAAAATGTAATTCATTTAAACAAAACATCAAAAATTTTGCAATTGGGGTAAACCATCTTTCAAAAGATGATTATTAAGATTTTAGTATTGTTAGTAAATGTTTAATTTAATCAAAGAAAATATGTATCCAAATAAAAATTTGGTTAATACCATATACACAAATGATTCAAATAATGAAGACTCAAATAAACCAGCATTAACTAAATTAAAAAACAAAAGAAAAAAGGCTGTATCAAATTTGCAGCTCTCTTTTGAATTATTCAGAAAGAAATTATATGATTCAGAGAGAAACTCAAATGTGGCTGCTGAAGATACTATAAATATTGGATCCAATTCTCCATCAAATGAAAAATTACAGTAAGTATTACATCTATATTAGTAATAGTGGTTAAAAAAAATTAACAAATATAAGAATTATGTTATACTAGTTATTGCCCACAAGAATTAAAAAAAAAACTTAATAGCCTATTTGTTCCTTCAGACTATGTTCTATATTTGTACCAAAATTCATCAAAATCCATTGAGCTGTTCCAGAGATACCTTGTAACAAACATCTATCCATTGATCCATCTAAACTTTGGCATTTGTAATATTAGTAAGAGTAATTTTAACACATTCAGTGCCAACATGTAGACTGCAAGTCAGTATAAATATGTTTAGTTTAATCTTTTTTTTTTTTGTTTCAGAAGTAACGAAGAACCTGTTAAACAAGTTTCTAATGATATCAAATTAATATGGTTACAAAGTGCTCTCAATTTTATTAAAAATGATCATCAGACAACTCTAATATTTCCCACAATATCTGTAGAGGAATCTGATTTCATACATGCAATATTAAATCAGGATTCTGAGCCAGACTTAGATAGTCGATTTAGTGCTATATATTTATCATTAAGGGAGGCATTGATAATATATCAAACTAAATATATTTTTGCATTGAATACAGTCTTTAAAGGCAAAGCAACAATGTGAGTTTCTTATTTTTAAATTTTTATTCTTTATTAAGCTAATGCATTTTAATTAATTTGTTAAATTTGTACACTTTTATGTATAATAAAAAAAGGATTATTTGTAACAATTTAAACATTCATAACTTTTTTTTTGTTGATTTCAGTAAACTAGAACTTGAGAAAATACCCAAGAATAACAAACTGAAATTTGCTAAGTAAGTATTACTATCATTTTTTACAACACAAATATATTGTCTGATTTTTTTTAATAAATGTGAAAGTGATAACATGTTTGGCGCATCAATAGTGGAAACTGACCCTTACAATGTCTGATATATTCATATTTTAGTTATGTAGTTGTTTGAACATATTTGTTAACTTACAGAATGTCGCAGAAGTACAACGAAGTAACATTAAGTAAGAAAAAAATAGAAAAACGTACAAAATTGGTCAACGATAAGATGAGTATCTTGAATGCTGTACCAATGCAATATATAATTAATTGTTATAAACAAATTCTGGAGTTCTTGGACGATGACTTACGTTTTACAATCACTTTTGATAAACTGCTAAGACATGAGTACGAGTTTATTACGAATGTAAAACAAATTGTGAAGAGTAGAGAAGTATTAGAAGCTGGTCTTCCGGAAGAACTTAATGCACTATTAGAGTGTATAGCCACACATAAAGATTATGCATTCAGTTTGATACCAAATAGAGCTAAACATGAAGAAAAGTGAGTAATTTCATGTTTTATTAATTATCTGACTACTAGTAGTTTTAGTATTAATTCCCACTAAGTTTAAAAAAGTTTTTTTCATGGTAGCTGCGACTCCATCCGAATCAAGAAAAAACCTAATTAGTAGCTTATGTGTTTTTATGGACTAAGTTTTACACCTATGCAAAATTTCAGCGAGATCTATGCAGCTGTATTTACAAACAAATATCCATACATCCAAACATTCACATTTGTAATATTGTATAGTAAGATTTAAATAATTTTTTTAGATATGTCATCATTATGAAGGTGCCTAAGGGAGGAGACAGGGGTAATTTTCAGATTATGGAAGATAGGTAAGTACACTTTGAAAGAAATAAAGCTACATTTAATTATAAAAAAAAACAATGACATACTGATACTTTTTTAATTTATTGAGAACCATTATATATACTGTAATTTGGTTGTCTAATATTAATATATTTTTAAAAACAAAATGTATTTATATTTGCAGCCTTAACAATTCTCAAGAATTTTATAATGTTCCCGAAACAAAGACAACAGAACCGAACAACAATAAAATATTATATAGAAAAATTGATAATAGCATTAAAAATACAAATGAAAGGTAAATATTTACATATTACGTATATGACATTACATTTATCATAATTAAATACAAAATCCGTTTTTTTATATTTATTCATAACTTGCTGTCACCCCCAACTCCGTCCACTCGGAGTAAGAAAATACTTAATTATTAGCTTCTGTTTATTTGCCAAGTTCCATACAGCCAGTCCGGAGATACCTTCTAACATCCATCCATCTAAACTTTTGCATTAATAATCATGTTTTTTTTCTACAGCAACACTCCCAATTTAAATAACAATTGTCCAGGAGAGAAGCAAATTGATAAAGAGTTCAACAACAACATATTTAAATCAAACAACTATCCAATTCAAAGTGAGAGGTAAATATTGTATTGAATATATGGGTATCAAATTATCAATTGCATGAATATTTCTAACCATGGGTTGCGGCAGATAACATTCTTACAAAAAAAAGCTAAGTCAGTAAAAACTTTTATCCATGTTGTATGGATCCCAGGCATGATTTCCTAACATTGGTAAAAGTATTAACAGGTTAAAGTTTAGGAATGCTGAAATTAATTGCTTATATTATATATTTAATAATAATAATAATAATGTTTGAGTCATGGGATTCCGCAGCCGGTGGTGTTCTCTTTTTAATATAATATGTTTTGTATATATATATATTTTTATATGAAATGTAGTAAAAAAATAATAATAAAACTATTATATGTATTATTATATATTTGTGTGACTAATTATTACAAATGTAATTTATTACTGAAGTGACTGGTTCAGGATACGGAGAGCTAATTCCCTGTCATCTTGCTTTATGGATTACAAAATGAGGTACGCTTTTTAATGCTTTATTGAAATATGATATTTAAATTGCTTGCAATTTGTTATTAATCTGGTGTTGGTTTGAAAGACACAATTTGTCACTCGCAATTTCTTAAAAAAAAAGTTCTGCTAATATTATCCACCATAGTAATACAATATTTATTTTAAACTAGCTGTCGCTTCTGACTATGTCTACACGAAATGTAAAAATAATAAGTACCTTATGTGTTCTACCAGATTGTGTTCTACATCTATGCCAAATTTCATCAAGATCTGTTGAGCTGGCCCGGAGATAGCGTCTAACAAACATCCATCCATCAATCTAAAACTTCACATTTATAATATTAGTAAAGTCTTTAAGAGATTGTTTGAAGCTATATTTGAAACATTTTTAGGTCATCCGCCTATTTGAGAGAACAATGCAATTCTTGGGAGAACATCGACATTTCACATTGGCAACCTACTGCAACTGAATCTTTTACTATCTACAATGAAAAGAAGTAAGATAAAACATAATATTTCATCTGTTTTTTCAAAATATCGAATTTATAATAATAACCTACATGTTTAAATAAAAAAAATCATCAAACTTTTTCCTATAATAAAACAACACCAAAAAAATTTCACCTATTTCAATTCTCTAATTATATTTTTCTTTATTTTCCATCCATTTTTTGTACCAGTTAGTGTCAAAATTTTCACTAATAATACAAAATGTTAAAATTCATATAATTACAGATTGACAAATCAACTAAAGTCCATACAGTTTCAACGTGGCGGCAGTGTGGATGTGTTGAATGATGAACATACAAGCAATGTAAGAAAATTGTATGATGTGAGATGTCGCAGCTGGAGTAGAGATAAAGATGCCAATAAAATGAAGAATAAAATGTATGAAGCACTTTTAGTACCTCTTACAAGCAGTAAAGCTATAAGGTACGACATTATTAACTATAAAAATTTAAAAGATGATTCTTTCTTTTCTTTTTCAAAAAATAACTAGATATCGCACGCGACTCCATCCACTTAGAATCAAAGAAAAAAAAAATCAGTACCCTATGTTTTGTATCCGACTATGTTCTGCATCTATGCCATGTCAAATTCAGTGAGATCTGCTGAACGATTTTGGTGATACCAAAGAACAAAGATCCATTCCTCAATCCATCCATCCATATTTATAATATTAGTAAAATTACTTGTTTGCATTCAAAAGGCTCTGAAAGTACTGAACTGTTTTGACGAATTCTTTCACCGTTGGTAAGCTACACTATCCCTGGGTGACATAGGATATTTTACTAGATTTTTTTTAACTCCTGGACTCAGTCGCGTGCCACAGCTAGTGTGGCATAAAATTCTTATTAGGTTGTCAATATGTGTTTGTTGTTTAGAATGATGCAGCTGATGGGCTGGAAGGGCGGCGCGCTGGGTTCACGCGGCGAGGGCATCACAGAACCCATTATGCCTGCTATTGGCATCGTATGTTTTAATTTGACTTTTTTTTTTGTCTTGTCATTTTGTGTTGTAAGAAATTTTGAAATTATAAAAAAGTAAATCTTGAAATTAGCTAACTATTTTTTTTTCAATAAAAGTCAAGGCAGTATGATATGTTTTTGTTAGTTTTATTAATCTAATCAGTTTTTAACTTGTATAATCTATTACTATGGGTTAGTATAATTTATTTTAATAGGTTAATAATGTTTATTTCAGCAACCAGGCGCAGGCTTAGGACATGGCAGTAATAGTTTTAAAATGAATGAAATCCCAAAAAAGGAGCCCCCACCTGTTCCCGTTGTGCAACCTGAAAATATACCTAATAGAGATAAATTCGTGAGTATTAGCTTTCTTAAAAATTAAAAAAATAAATAAATAGAATAACTTCAGATACATGTCTTAGATTCTGAAAAAGTAGATTACAAGTTTGTATAAGTACTAGTTGACACCCGCGACTCTCTCCGCGCAGAATTTAAAAAAAACCTAATTAGTGACCAAGTTCCTGTGACAAAATTCAATGATATCCATGCCTTTCTGGAGATACCTTCATCTATCTATCCAAACATTCACATTTATAGCATTAGTAAGATTTTTTTTTGTACAAGGTGGCAATGCAAGCGGCTTCCTTTGTCTTATCAATCTTTGGTCTTTTACTATTATATTTAGACACAAATATACAACATATTTTAACAATTATAGATTATTATCGTATGTAATTTTGTTTTTTTCTTGTTACAGTCGAAAAAAACAAAAAGATATAAGCGGAATTATACAGTAATAAAAGGTGAAGAGACCCGTTTGAAGATATTAAGCAAAATCCTTGAGTTTATTAAATCCTGTGAACCTAAAATGGTATTATATTTTGATGAAGTACTTAAAGAGGAAGATACGAGATTTGTTATTTGTAGTACTGATAGATTTAATAGAAGAAAGTATGTTCGCAATTTGCAATCACAATATGGTGCGGACGACCTCAGGAAGGTACAAGAAGTCATGTTAACTAAACCCCATATGAATCTGGCTGCTAAAATATCAGAAGATAATAAGTAAGTTTATAAAAAGCATGATCTAATTTCATATACTAGCTGTCGCCCGCGACTCCATCTACGCAAATAAAATCTCAATTACTGGCCTATGTGCTCTTACAGGCTATGTTCTACATCTATGACAAATTTCAGAGAGATTTATACAGCCATTCTGGAGTTACCGTCAAACAAACATCCATTCATTCAAACAATCGTATTTATAATATTAGTAAGATTGATATGTAACTTGACTGTATCCATACATTCAAGACATAATTAACGTACATAAAAACCATACATACCATTTAACATAATACCATACTATTAGTCATATAGTACCTTAAATTCAGTAACATTTGATTTCACATACATTTTATTCAGACTGTCTCAATTCAAAATTTGTTTTTAGCTTTTTACTACATAATAATTCTTAATATTAAGCGTAAAAGTTTCGTTTATACCATTTAATTTATTTTTCAGAGAAATAGTGTTGACAAAGACATTAAAAGGTGAAAACAACAATGAAACTACTCAGGACTTTACTATTGATACCTACGATTCAATTAGATCAAACATCTCAGTATATAGATACATAAAGACAATGAAACCAAGAGAATCTTATGGTATTTTCACAAAACAATCATACGAATTATTAGGTTTTAAACTATCAATGTTAGAACAAATATTAATGTTCTTGGATAAAAAACAATCAACATTAATGTTATATGTAGATATAAATTTATATGAAAAATATACGGAATTCTTAAAAAACTTCGTTGATGTTATAAACATGGGTCGTAAACCAAGATATGCAACAGAAGCTGAAGAATCGCTTGTAGAAAAGATATATAATAAGATAGGAGATTATTGTTTGATTTTAGATGTGTTCAGACCACTCAAGTAAGTAAAACATTCTTTGCTAACTTATCATCAGCTCACTACACATCCCCACTGAGGGGCTCGGAGTATACCCTAAGTAAGGAGTAACTTGGCTGTACTTAACCACACAGGTCTAGTGTGGGTTGACTTTACACTATGTTTGAATTTCTTCGCAGATATGTGCATCATCACGATGTTTCCCTTCATCGTAAGAACTCCCGATAAAAGTACATATAAAAATCGAAAAAATATTGGTACATGACGGAATTCGAACCCAGGATTTGTAGTTTACAAGTCAAGTACCTAACTCCTGAGCTAACAACACTCTCGTACTGTTGTCGCCATGACCATGAAAGTGTTGCCATTTAAATCAACATGACTGATTTATAATTATTTTTTTCAGAATAATAAAACTTCAAAAGAAAAGTCGTAACACACAAGATTCTGGAGTATGCGAATCAAAAAATAATGAACAAGAAACAAAGGAATTAATACAAACTGAAGATAAAAATGTCTCAGAAGAAAAACAAAATAATGATAATTTAAATCAACTCAATACTTCACTAGAGTTTCATATTGAAAAAACTGTTGAAATAATCACTACAAATATTATGAATAATTTATCACAAATATATGGAAAAGGTGTTAATAGTACGGTTTCTGAAGACGCTTTGATGACACAAGAAAATACACAAACATTAAGAGAACCCGATACTGAAAACAATTTACCTAAAACAAATAATGTTGAAGATGATAACAAAGATATAATTACAATTGATTTAACAGAAGAAAATGTACAAATTAATGAAACTAAAATAGAACAAGTTCAAAATACACATATACAAGATTTTATACAAGAACAGGCAAAAGAAAATTTTGAATATAACATAGAAAATGAAAAAAAAGACACCAATGAAGAAAATATAGAGGTAACTGAACAAGAAATAGATGAAAAAGATTTATCCATTGAAAATGAAGATATATTAAAAATAATAGATGATTTAGAAAAATCTATCAAACTAGAAGAACCACTCAACGAGGAACATAATCAAAAACGTAATCGTTCAGATTCCAATGACTCACAATTACAAAATACAAAGAAAATTAAACTTCCTTCAATAAAGTGTTATAAACAAATTCAAATAACACCGAATAACTCATTTGAAACGATGAATAATAATTTAGCAGGAATTGTACAAAGTCTTATATCTAACGCAATAGATGATAGTGATTGTTTACCGTTGTTACAATGCAATGGTATTGTGGACGATAAATTATTGTACATATGTTATAATGAAAACACATATACATGGCTAAAAACAGTATTAATCGATCATTTCAATGTTTTAGTTACGGAAGTGAATTTGGAGGGTAGACGTAAATTAAAAATAATATTAAAAACTTACATCTATGATAATGCAACGAAGATTTTAAATAGAATAAAACTTTATAATTCATATTTAGATGTAGATGATTGGAAAGTACATAAGACATTTGTTTCAATGGATTCTACATATATATGGGTTGAAGTTGATGAAGAAGATTATAATTGTATAAGTCGAAATGATTTTTCATTATTTGCTGGAATCGATAAAGCTAAATTCAGTGTTACATGGGATTAAATTTATTTACAAATAATTTCAGCGAAACGTAACAAAAGACTTATTGTACAATCGCGTACACAAAGGTGAGTGGAGTTTTAGTAATCTAGTCGATTAAAAAACATGTATCGGTGACTTACACAGTTTTTTTTTAGTTTACGGGTTTATCTCTCTACTATTAGATGTAATAGCATTTTACAATTTCTGGTGCCATAAAGTATAACTAGAAATAAGTATTGCACTATTATTATTTCATTGAATGTTTCATTTTGAAGACATCCACAGCGAAGGCAATAAATTGTCATAAATACTCAAGATAAATATGCACAAATTACTTTATTTGTTTCCATTCTTACTTCTCTCCAAGTTGTTGATAACCTCATGATTTTCACTTTGTGTCTTTGTTATTTTGTTCTGTTTTTTCAATAATCTTTTCTCAGTTGCAACAAAAAGTAACTAGTGACAGAAAAGTGTTTTTTTTTTCTATTGATCTGACCTAGTGATTATGTTATATTTAAGAGAAACTGCTCCTTAGTTGATTATGGGGTTGACCTTGATTATTCGGTAGTGATTCAGTACTATAGTGTAAAAACTATCTTATCAATAATATAGAAATCATGTCTATTTTTACTATTATTCTTGTAAGATATCCGAGCTGTGCTTAGATGAGTGATATATTTAATATTTGTTATTAGATAATAAGGATTTAAAATATTAACCAGTTATTAATTTAGTTCAGTGCAACCACGAAGATACTTTCGTCCTTTACCTATTTTTTTTTTTTTAGTTATACTAAACATTATTCCTCTTTTTTAGATACTTAATAGAAATATTTTTAACTCAATGTGATTTAGTATTATGCAGGTCATACACGTTTGGTTTTGAATGACATTTTTAACCTACATGCATAATCTACAGACAACAGATTCATTATCTTTCTTCTAGAGCCTTCAATATTGGATGTTGGCCGTCAGTTCAGCGAACCCATCCCTGTTCTGTGCCAAGGATGTTTGTCCATTGCAACTTTCTTTTCCTTCCAACCCGTCTTCTACCTGCGACTTTCCTCATCATTGTGACTTGAAGAAGTTCATATTTCTCGTATCCCAAGACAACACACAATTGTACACTTTTCTAATACCAAGATTTACCTGTGAGTTATGCATACAAGATCGGCCAAAATGTATGTGACCTGGTTTGTAAAGATCTCATAGTATACTCATGTCTAACCATGGGTTTTAGAGTCCACAATTTAAAACACATTGTTATCTCGTTCTTGTCAAAGATAAAAGATAGGGATGACGATATTTTAATACACAGATTTTAGTGTCAGAAACCCATGGTAAATGACATACTTTCCGGGGAATATTTTAAGCTTTGTCGATTTCCCCTTGAAGCAATCAATGATTACATATATTACTTTATAATTGCATTTTATGTTAACTTGTTTATAAGTTGAAGACTGTCATGTTTAAAATAACTTGATGTTTTATTTATACTTATCGCGTGTACCCCAACATTTACTATTCCATTGTGTGTTTTCCATTCCATACGTTTTCGTATGTCAATATCTCCAGATGTCGTTATAAATTAAACAAAATGAGATTTCATATATTTATTGAAGTAAAACTCAAATCATGAGTTGATCAAAATAGAGCCCTAGCTCAAAGAATTTGATTTTTAAATTGCATCATAGCTGAATAGCGCTACCTAGTGTGCAATCAATACTGAGAAAATCAGAGATACAAACATTTTATAAAAACCTTATTAGAGTCCAACTGCAATATACTAGGCTTGTGTTTTTTACTAAACATCTATGAAATACTTGACACTGACAAGATTTCAGATAAGTTACACTTACATTTATTATTTAAAAAAAACTTCAAATTCAGCAAACTTACTGTGAGTTAAACTTGCCTACCTTATTGCATAAGGCTTACAATGTCTAAGTTATTATATGTAATGTAAAAGTTAAAAAATGTAGAATACTCCTACAAATAGAATGAAACTATTTCTACTTTCTTTTTAATATGTTCAAAGAGATCAGAAAATTATCTCAATTCAAAAATATTTTTTGTTATTTTTTCTGCAAATGTATAAAAATAAAAAAGTTTAATTTATTTGGAATAGTTAATTTTATGCTTAAATAAATTAATAACTAAGAATCTGCGACAACTTCTTCAGGCTCAGTTTTAGGCAGGAGGCCGCGTATGCTCAGGTCATAGACAACTTCCTCTATTTTCTTTACATCATACTTCAGAGCGTCGAAGCGCTTCCGCAAATGATCGTTCTTGAGATTCAGCAACCTGTAATATTTTGTAAATTTATTTCGTGAAGTTGGAAAGAAATCTAACATTAAACTGAACCTAAAAAAATAGTGAATGTGTTACCTACTTTGAATGGGAAGGACAAGAAACAAAAACTACTATATTTCTTTTTTATATACTTAAGAAATTAGGGAAAATGGAAAGTTAGTTAAAATTAGGGAAATTGAGAAGTTCTTCAGTGGAGAATATACTCAAAATTACCTGAAGCCTGCATTAAGTTCCATAACAAATTTGGATATTTGCAGCGGTCTGTTGTAATCACCACGAGTGACAGAGTTCACAGCAAGTCGTGACTGTAAAGAATTATTAGCAATAACAATTTTGAACATTTGTTTACATGAAAAATATTGCTGAATAACTAAAATCTTACCAATTCTGAACACAAGTTCAATAGTCCGACCAAATAGTCTTCAATATCAAGATGGAACCCTTCTTTTTCTTCTGTTGCACTAACTAAAATTATTTTAAAGTTAAAGTTCAGTTTCTTATATTCATTAAATAATGTTGGTAAAGGAAGTCATGTGAAAACAAAAACTACTCACTTCCAAGTATCTCAGCTACTGTTTCATGTGAAGCCATTATCCCTTTCTCCAGCCAAATTGTCAGAGAGATCAAATAGCAAAAGCGTTGAGTCATGAACCTCCAGTGATCCTGGTATCTGGAATTATATTTTAATCATTCTAATATCACACACACCTGTAAAAAAAGCAATTTTTTTGATTTGGCACAGTTCTGTCAACTCTCTTCCACATATATACATTTTCATACATGCTGAATAATTACTGGCATTCATAAAACTGTAAGATGTAAATATTGAAATAGTACTTGTAGTAGTCAGTGGGCGGTACAGCATCCTTCAGTTTGGAATATCCAGCCCTAGCTTTCTCAAACATCTCCCTCGCTTGAAGACAAGCCGGAGCAACTGAAATGTTTTAACAATATTTATACGTAATTTTGTAAAAAAAAAAGACAAGGAAAAGGCCTATTTTATTATTCAGTAGAATAGGTTCAAAAAACTATGTGAATACAATAAAGATACACTTACTGCCATCCTCATTATAATGAATTACTTGAAGTATAGTTGTTACAGATCGATATATGGAATCAACATCTTTACAAATGTTGCGGATAACCTAAAAATCAAACCGAAACTTTTTTTTGGATTGTGATATATACAAGTATTTATGCTATTAATTTGTTAATTTAAAGGCCCCCAAACATATTGATTTTAGACAAAACAACAATTAAATTTATAACGATTTGTTACATTTTCCGCGCAGTTTATTGTTGATTTATTAAATTACCTCACGTATTTCTTGCTCCTCATCGAGACTTTTTTGAAAGTCACTAAATATATTATTAATTACAAGATTTCCGCTCATTTTTGTATCTTATTTATCAACAGACGAATTAAGATCAAAGACACACTCCACAACAATATGAAAACAAAATTCTTATCTGTATTGCAATGTCTGTTTTTTTTCGACTTCGACGGCCTTTGAATGAGTGAATGACAATGAAAGAATGGAAATGCGAGGAAAACGTTACTTCTCGATGCCCTTTCGATTCTATGCATCGATATTTTGTGGAAAAATAATTGTATAGTATAGTACAGTATAGTACTGCCAAATAATGTCTTTACCAATATGTATTAAGATTTTTGGAAAATACTTACGAGCAGGAATAATTTAGTTAATACGAACCTTTATACTTCATCAAGAAGTATTGTATTAGATGAAACTATCTTTAAAATAGTATGTAAACTACTTCGTAGTAAGAGTCGGGTCTTAGATCAATTACCTCTTCAAGTGGTAATAAGAGAACGCAAGATAGAATAAAGAGGCATGACACCGCCGTGAAAACGCCGCCAAATCCATGTTTTTTGTTCGACGTTTCGCTAGCCTATTACCATTTCATAACAAATTATTTTGGTAATCCTGAATATTGAAAACAATATATGTTGTCGCCCACATTTCCGGCGTACCCTAAAATACACCGGAAGTTATATAATATATTGCAGTATTGCAAAATAACCAATGGATACGGTTGCTTTATTGGCTTTGTTCACATAAACAGAGTGATCGGTACAGATGCACTGTGTAGTTTGATATATTCATTGTTCGTAATGACGAAAAATATTTTTAAATTTCGCGGTTTGGCTATACACGGTGTTACGTTATAGTACGACTCAAGTTTTACTCTACCCGCACAAGCGGGTAGTTAGAAATCTCTCACCACTACGGTCTAGCGCGGGGCCTGCGAGGCTTATGAGGTAAAGGCAGTGAGTCGGCAGAGTTGAGAGTCAGTTTCGCGAGTCAATGGAAGTTGGACGGAAAGAGTAACACGTCGGACATGTCGGTTTCCTAGCGTAAATGGTCCCTTAAGCTTTAAGTGACCTACAGGCGGTGAACGGGGCATCGAGGTGGTAAGTGATACTTCATCTATTTATAATATTACGCCACTCTCTGCAACATGTATTCTAAGGGTGGTTGCGCCGCGGGACCCGAACCCTTCGACAATTTCAATAGTAGCAGGTGGTTAGGTTAACACGCTTTTTTGTAAGTATTAGCATACCTTATGCCTAGTAAGGGCCTTATGGGCAGTACATTCATAGTACGAGCGGTACATAGCTAGTGCGGGCGGTACGTAGCTAGTGCGGGCGGTACGTAGCTAGTGCGGGCGGTACGTAGCTAGTGCGGGCGGTACGTAGCTAGTGCGGGCGGTACGTAGCTAGTGCGGGCGGTACGTAGCTAGTGCGGGCGGTACGTAGCTAGTGCGGGCGGTACGTAGCTGGTGTGGGCGGTATCTAGCTAGTGCGGCCGGAACGTACCTAATATGGGTACATACCTAATTAAAATCAATAAGGCTTTTGCGAGGAAGGAGCAGGTTAATAAAACAGGCTACTAAATTAATACCAACTTTATAATGAAATGCAAAAAAACATTTTTTACTGTATTAACAGTTTTAAATATCAATTTTAGTTGTTCCTCTTAACCAGGAGGCCAGCGCATTTGCCTTCCCCCCAAAATATGAAGATGGAGATGGTAGACACTTTGAGCACCATTCTTCCCGTCATTGATAACAATTCGGAAACCACTTTCGCCAAGGCCTTCTTGAGCAGCAATTTTACGGGCAGCAATCATGAGATGACCTATAACAAAATTATATGTATGAATATATCACAATTTACCTTGAAGTATTTTATCTAAAGCATGATAGAGTTAAAACTTTCCTAACTCTATTAAGTTGCAACCCTCATTAAGTTGTAAGCCCTTTTTTCCTTCCTTTACCATACCTTGGGTTTAAGTTTTTATTAATAAGGCTAATCTAAAAGTTGTTTAAAAACCAGTAATTCATGTCTTCATATTGTTGATAACTAGTTAACCGATGAGTTCCTGAGACCGAAATCTCTGCATAAAACATATAGTTGTTTTTCAAAGATACAAGGATGATGTTATATACAGAGATTTTGATGTCGGAAGCAAACGGTGATTCTCCCAAGTTAAATGATGCGAGTTTGGTTTTTCACTTATTTTTCTCTGTTCTACATGTTAAAATTAAGTAACTGTAAATATCATTTTCTAGGTCCCTAATTCTATTTCAGTTATTATCTGTAATTAACAATGAAATGTTTAAAATATATTTACCCAGAAGTTGCTCATCTTCATCAGAAGCTTTGGATAGTTGAGCTATTAGTTTTCTAGGAATGACTAAGATGTGAGTGGGCGCTTGAGGGTTCACATCATGAAATGCTACACACTGAAAAATTGCAAAGTTAAATACAGAATATCAGCTGTAGATATGTAAAGGGTTAGGTGTAATGTAGAGGTGTTAATCGTGCCAAAGATATAAAAATGGAGCCTAGGAGAATCGGTGTAACTAATCTTTTCGACCTCATTAAGCAACCGTAATTTTTTCTTTGCTTATTAATTCAAGTTTTAAATAAAATAATATGACAAAGGTTATTTTTTTTTCTCTAGCCCACAACAATTTCATAACTTACAAGATTTGTGCAAAAAGTATAAGCGGAACAACAGTACAGTATTTTTTTACATAAGTATAATATATAATAAGCATGGTTTAAATAAGTAATAAAAAAACTTAAAATTACTTGATCATCTTCGTAGACAAATTTGGCAGGTATTTCTTTTCTTAATATCTTGCCAAAGATAGTATCGCCACCGGGAAGAGCGGACTGAGCTAATTCCACCTCACTTGCCATTTTCCATAAAAATATGTAGTCTTCTTTAGTCTGAATAAATATTTTGAAAATCTAGAAATGACCAGAAATGGCCAAAGACTAAAAAGTAGGGATGGGCATTGATAAACAAACTAGTTGTATCAATCCGTTAATCTCCCTTCAACGTTTCAACCGTTGACCGTTTTTCATTTAACTAGTTGAATTCAACGTATATTTATGTATATTTACAAAGAAATCATCTTCTATTCTAATAATCTTTTTCTCCACCAGTCTTTAGGTGTGTTTATTAATTATATGATTAGCTACTATACAAAATCAACTAGTTTTTCAGATAGTTGAAAAAGGAAAATTAACCATTTCGTTGACGTCAAAACTGACAACTAATAAGAACAACCATAGAACTTCACCGTGATCTATATTTTTTTAAAGAATTTATCGTATGGTTATCAGACCTTTAATCCACCATAATAGATCTTTGATTTTGAGTTGGTTTAAATGTATACTATTTTTACTAAATTATTTATAGTTTTGCAATATTATTTTTAAATTATTCCAAAATGCTAAAGTATTTGTAATCTGCATTATTCCTATTTACAATCTGGAGTTTGGTGTTATCGGCCACAGAATTCCTTTAGACACTTTGCTAATTACATGAATAGATTTTAATTTTCCAGATTTTAGATTTTCATTTATTGTGATTTGATAAGAGTTTCCCTCGAAACCCTTTCGTATAGCAACTTTATTTGCTACGAGAATAAGATGTCCTGCAACAAAAGTTATTACTTAAAATATCAACCATGTCATTGTCTATGAATTTTCTTACTTAATTTCTAAATCTTAATATAGAATTAGAACTTAAATTAATAATTTAAGTTGGCCTAAAAAGTACTATTAAAATAACAACATGGGTTTTTCATAATAGTGGACCTTCTCTAAGTTACATTACCTAAAAGTTTCTTATCATCTGTCAGCGCATTAGATAATACAGATATATTCTTTTTAGGAATCACTAGAAGGTGCAGTGGTCCTTGGGAATGTGATTTTTCCTCAAAAACGATACTCTGTAAAAATATTAAAAAAGTAAGGTTGTCTCTTTGTTATGAATTAAAGCGTACTATAATAAAACAATTTCAACAATTTAGGGTTTTATTTACCTGATCGTCTTCGTAAATTATGTTCCTAGTATCACCATATACATTGTAATTTTTTAACATGTTGGTAACAATGTATGTAAATAGTACTTAAATATTTCGTTTCTTAACACCATATAAGACGTGTATTTCCTACAAACGCCACTTTTCATATGTTTACAAGTATGTAATTTGAAACTAAATGAGTTTTTGCCCCGACGCCTATCATTGAGACATTTTTATTTTTTCCCTCTCAAAAAATAGACATAACAGGTTTTTTGTACAGATGTGTCTATATTGGAAACCCTCGGTTAAGAATAATCTCGGTTAGTATAAACTAAGCTATAAAAGTAAACTGTAGTTTACACACATTTTATAGTTATTAGTAAATTGTTTTGAAATATCTCCACTTTTATCAAATTAGATAAGATACTAATTTTATATACCATATGTAAAAAAAGTGGGAAAGTATAGAACGCTCGTAGATATATAACTGTCATGGAAACACATTTTTTTTTGCGCAATTAAAAAATCTAAATCTTCAAAATAAACTATGGCTACGACATTCTCTTTTCTTCTTGCTTTTTACTGCACGTATAAAATTATAATGGCTGTAAATTATGCTGAAAAAAAAATATCGGATAGTTTTAAAATTTTCATGGGTGATAGGAAATACAAAAAGCAATGTAAATTGAAGTTTTTTATAAGTACGCAAATATTCGCTTTAGGTATACAATGATAAAAGTTTTCAATATAAGTAACTTAAACTATTATAGGAAACAAAACAAAACATAGTCAATACAGAAATTACACAATTCATATTAAACAAAATGTTATCAATAACTTTTTAACTATGTACAATATCAAAATGGTTTATCACGGAGTAAAAGTTATCTTCATAAATAAATATTGCATATTAAAATCTTACACCAATACACTATACTATCGAATAAATTGGAGTTCTTTTTTAATTCGTTTTAGGGAAAGTAATTCTAACTTTATACAATCATGGTCTAAAAAGTATGCATAAATATGGCCTTAAATTTTACTAAAACATCCCAAAACAGTGGCTGAAAACTTATATATAAAATTCTCGTGTCACAATTTTCGTTTCCATACTCCTCCGAAACGGCTTGACCAATTCTCATTCACAGGAAATTGGGTAGGTCTGAGAATCGGCCAACATCTATGTTTAATCCCGCGCGAACGGAGTTGCGGGCGACAGCTAGTCAATATATAACATTAATTGATGCGCTTTTATGACAAACAAATCGACAAAGGGCAACAAATACTTTTTTTGCCTTCATATGTATACATCAAATATTTAAGTTGGCACGTCGCGTTTAAGAGTACTCTGGTTCTTGATGTGCCAAATTAAATGTAGGTACTTTAATTATAGTTATATTTATAGTTTGGGCCATTTTTTTTTATTCTTGCTTCTTTTTAATTATTAACAAAGCAGAAAATCCTTATTTACATAAAGTTGTTGAGAAAATCATAAATATAGTTCCAGATGATTTAAAATATTTAAAATTCGAGGATTATATTTTGGCTCATATTGACCACTGGTAAGCAACCATTGTTTAACTTTTAAGAGACAAAGATACAATAATTATTTACATCAATTCTGAAATAGATTTTAATATAATGTAATATATTAACTTACAATTTATTTACATTACATTTGCACAATCTTAATATATAAGTTATTCAAAGTTTATTTTTAGTTAGTTATTATATTTTTAATTTATATATATACAAATTGTTCACATATGACGAACATCAACAGAAAAGATAAACAGATTATATTGTGAAACAGCTATCGCCATCATCAGCTCACTATACGTCCCCACCGAGGGGCTCGGAGCATACCCTAAGTTAGAATGAATAGGTTATAGTCAACCATGCTGGCCAAGTTGTGTTGGTAATTTATTTCTGTACTAATATTTCCACAGTAAAGACATAGATTAAGAAGTTTACTACTTTAATAAGTCGTGTGCCTTCTTAGCTAACAAAAAAAACAAGCAATAGGGATGTCGACTTACACAAGAATATTATTTAAAATACACATATATTATTACTGATAATTACAAGTCACTATTTAATTTATAATAACGTTAAGTTACATTATATACATATAAATGATACAAGTGTAAAAAGTATTGTTTATTGCATATGTTCCTCGTATTTAACCATTAAAGTATATCAGAATGTACGTTTAAAAATAGTGTTGTTGTTAAAAAATCATATAAAATAGAACATAATCTATTCGCAATCGTTCACAGCCTTATATTTATAAGTTATATACTTATCATGGCAACATTTAAAATTTAACACATTTGGATTTGCAAATCGGATAATAGAAAAGTTTAATAAAATGTAAATTGTTTAAAATAGCTATATAAACAATAAGTAATATACTTTAGTTTTGTTTCTCAGTCCATATTATAAATGTAATCTATAAACAAGAAAAAGATAAACCATAGACACGAGACAAGTCATATCTTATTTACTTAATTAAAAACACATAACAGTAAATAACAAAACAACACATAACGAATATTCTCTCTATTATTTAATTATTTTAAAACACCCACTGGCCACTGGACACTTTTTTTAATTTATAAAGTCACGACACAAAATCACTTGAAATGGTTCATAATGTCCTCAATAGTGTTTTTGGTATATTATTTTGGGTAGTGAGCGCTACCCCCACGCAGGGTCGTACTTCGTCCAGGGGTAGTCGGGAGCGAGGTAGACCCGACGACCGCGGATGAAACAGGTCACAATACCCATATATGCAGTACGGGGTATACCACTCTGTGAATACAATATTAGAAATCATAATAAACATAGAATGTAGCTTAAAACTATTTAAAACAATAAAACGGTGTTATTTTATTAATGTCAACTTATACAGGGTGTCCGGGACAGATTTGTACATTGGAATAATATAGATTCTTTGGTCGAAAATAAGCCACTTCCAATCTTTATCTAATGTTTGGATGTATGTATGGATGTTTGTTAGCAGGTATCTGCAGAATGGCTGTATGGATCTCCTTGAAATTTGGAATTGATGTAGAATATAGCTTTAAAGAACACATAGACTACTAATTTAATTCAGGAATACCCTAAATCAAAAAACAATTTTTAAATAAAAGCCCTCAAGGTTCATAAGTGACTTGATGATGATGAAAGTGAATAATTCTTAAGTTACAAATCTTACTCTAAAGTCCTCCATAAGGCCGAGTTTCTTGGCGGCCTTCTGATAAGTCTTTGCATTGGTGTATGGCACTCTGACCGGGTCCGTGCCAGCGCTTGATATCACCTCCTCAGCTGACATCTCATCCAGACCGTATACTGATGACATCAATGTCTCATCGTACACGTCCTGGGAAAATAAAACAATTTTTATTGCTATCTAATTGGATAGTTGATTACTTTTACTATGTTCCGATTTGAATGCGGCTGTTGATGTTACGTGACAGTTAATTCTATCAGCGCCAAAATGGTGAAAATCAAATAGGCACTAAATACTATTTGTATAGCCAGTCCATTTATAGAGGTTAGTGGTTTTATTATTGTGTAGTTAGCTTTAAACTTTACTAGCAATGTTAGTATGTATAGATGTATAGATTGCCTTGTACGACGTAAATAAAAGATTCTAAATCGTCTGTGGAAGTTTTGGGAAGAGCAAGATGGCGATAGGGAACGAGAGAGACGCGAGTATTTACCTTGAGCAAGTATGTGAGGTTGAGTTTAGTGAATTCAACAAAATCAGTATTAAGATGCATGTAGCGGAGATGCATGTCGAAGAATAAACCTTTGCTCACTCCCACCTGAAATAAATAATAATATACATACATTTTTTTATATTTTTGAGTTTAATTAAGGTATCTCTAGAATGGTTAAACGAATTTCGGTGAAATTTAGCATAAATATAGAATGAAGTATGGAAAAACACATAGGCTACTAAGTTTTTTTTAACACCGCGAGAACGTAATCGCGGGTGACAGCTAATATGGATTGTTTTTGGACATGAATTGACAGATAAATTGGCGTCTAATTTATTACAATTGTTTTGAATGGGCAATAGACAAAGTAATAGTTTTGGCCATAGAGTTCAATTTACTTTTAAATATCAATAATGAAGTAATGTTACCTTTCCAAATGAATAAGTGCGAGATATCTCTGGTCTGATACAGGCTCGCCCGTCTGTGTTCTTTGGATCACGTAGCCAGTCATCGAAGAATCTAATTATTGTGACGAATTTAAATGTTTTAAGATCAGCAGTCAAAATACTAAAATAAAAAAGTATAATATGAACTTACGCTTCTGGCCATTTAGGTTCTAGTTGTGCCCAGGTGTCCTTGCGTAGTATCCACCCGAGTCCGGGGAAGAAGTCTGTGCGGTGCAGCAGTTCCGGCCGCGACATGTCTATCACCTCCCGTTTACCGTTGTCGTTCCAAGCTGACACGCACCTGATGTACACGGAAAGTACTTTCTAATAACAATTATTTATCATTTGTACTAAGCGTCATAGGTGACAGTTTAACTTTTTTATGATTTACTAGCTGTCGCCCACGACTCCGTCCGCGCGGAATTTAAAAAAAACTTAATAAGTAGCCTATGTGACCTTGCAGCATATGTTCTATATCTGTGCCAACTTTCGTCAAAATCCGTTCAGCCGTTCTGGACATACCTTCTATCAAACATCCATCCATCTAAACATTCGCATTTATAATATTGGGAAGCCGTCTTAGTTCCAATTTCTGATTGATTCTAAAACTTTTTTCTTTGTGATCACATGATATAATCTACATAAAATAAGTGTTAGGCTGATAATTATAACTCACCATATACTTGGATCTTTCAGTAGAAGGGGATACGTGCCCAGGAAATATTCGAAGAAATCTGGCGATATATCTAAGTCATCTGCAATTTAAAAAAAACATTTAATTACAACTTTTTGGTTTAACAATACAAAAAAATTCAAAGAGTACGTTACAGGTAGAGGGTACTCGTGTGTGTTTAAGTAATTATAATCAATTAATTGTTTTAAAACGTTCTTTATAATCTTTGTAACACTAACCTTCAACGATAATAACAGCTTTGTGTCCCAAGGTGTTAAATACATGGTTGAGAGCGAAGCGATAATGTCGGGCAATCTTGTAGTACCCTCGGAACTTAACCTTGGCCCTCGGCAGCTGTATCTCTGAGCGGTCTGGCTGCTGCACCACTGTGATGGTAGGGTCTACCTCAGTGAAACTCTTTATCACTTTGTACGTTGCGTTGTGCCCGCAATCCTGGGGAAATTATTCTTTTAGCTAAGGCTAGCTGTCGCCCACGATTCTATCCGCGCTGTATTAAAAAACTTAATTAGTAGCCGATTTGTTCTTCTAGATTATGTTCTACATCTATGCACGATTTCAGGTATATCTCCACAGTCATTTTGGAGATTCAAACATCCATCCATCAGAACATTCGTATTTATAATATTAGTAAAAATGACTATATTCAAGTCAAAATATCATAATTTTAGCAGAGTTTCAATACAAAATAAGTCATTTTGTTTAAAAAAAGTATTAGAGATCTTATGCAAAGAAGATGTTTAATTATCTGCCATATTTATAAATATGATTATGACCCACAGAAGTTAATAGATGCATAGTAGTTAACGTATATTGTACATCCATGTATGAAGTTAGGTGAGGCGTCAAACAATACCGTTGTTTAATAATAGTCGAAGAACATGCAAACATAATTCGAGGTAAGCAAACGGTATTTGTCATGTAAACGCCACAAGCTTGGGAATCACGCAAATCCTTGTGTTTTGATAATACGCGTTTGAAACTGGATTAAACCTATTTTACACTAAGCGGCCTTACAATTGAATGTCAATTGTTTTACATATAAAATAAGGAGCAAATAAATGTATTTTGACAAAAGTAGGCGGACTCTCTCTCGAGCAATAAATGAAATGTCTGTTTGAAAGAGGTCTGTGCAATTTGTAACACGAATAAAATATTTAAATGTTCGGAAATTATTATCTCAATAATTGCTACGTTCACATAAATTACTAGGAAACCGGAACAACACCGTTTAAATGCATTTACGACTCGGATGAAAATTTTAAAATTGTTAAACAATTATAATCGGAATATAGGAATATGAACCGTGGAATCCATCACTCGTAATGTCTTCGTGAAACTTCCTGTATCACACGACTGCCTTGTGAACCGTTTGAATTTAAAAATAAAATATACATAAGCGATCAAACTCAATAATACTAATAGTTTTCAATCCATTTTTGCCCATAAGAGGTATTATTTATATTCTCTTTATCGCTCTCTCTTCAGCCATATGACGCGCAATGCTGGGCGTAGACCTCCCCAAAGATCGCCACCATGATGTGTCCTCTGCTACCCGCATTCAGGATATTCCTTGTCAATATCACAGGTCTATCTTGCGGGAGGCCTGCCCACGCTGCGTCGACTTGCCCTTGGCCTCTATTTATATTGTATATATACTATTATTAGCTAATTATATTGTTAATTATCAATTGTATTCCAATGACTTTAAACGAAAACTCAGAATCTATTTAGATTCTGCACACGTAAATAAGATCTACTATTTAGAGTATAATTGACACATTTTTGTACATCTTTCCGTACATCATCATTCAACCTAAGCTTGTCCACTGCTGGACGTAGGCCTCCCCCATCGACTGCCACAATGCCCGGTCCTGTGCCGCCCGCATCCAGTGCACTCCCGCAACTAATAATAACTATCTTAAATGTTCTTCTAAACTATGTTCTACATCTTTACCTAATTTCGTAAAGATCGGTTAAACCATTCTGGAGATTCAAACAAACATCCATCCATCTAAACATTTGCATTTATAATATTAGTAAGAAGTGACTTACTTGACTGACTATGATGGGGAACGTCTCTTTGCTGGGTCTAAACTTGACCAAGCTGTCTAGACAACGCTTCACTGTTATCCTATCGCATGCAATTACGAGCACTGGCAGAATAGGATTTGAAGCACCTGGAAATTAACGAAAAATTTTCACATGTTATAAGCTATCTCCAGAACGGCTGCATGGATCTCGCTGAAATTTGGCTTATATATATTTATGTTTTTTTTTTTTTTAACAACGCGTAGACGGAGTCGCGGGCGACAGCTAGTGTGTAGTAGTTAGATTTATTTTAAAAAACCCCAATACACTCGAAATGCTTCAATAGTCTCATGTTCATAAACGCTAGGCAACAATCTGGTACACAAATAATGTATGCGGTTATATCTAATACATAGTACGTTTACATATCGCGGGGCAAACCAGATGGCTGTATCGTTGTAAAATTACACAGCTGGTTTGATAATAACTGTTATACTTTTACATTGAAAATTAAACATACCTACAACACTTAAACATTCCACTGTATCACAGAAAAAAACTGTAGGAAAGATAGATTGGTACCGTTCTCGATCCCGGCACATTTGCTTTGCGACGACAAAAACCGGGGTAGATTGCTAGTGCGATCATTTTCATATTATTTTGATTAATCTGTTTTCGACAATATGATTAATTAACCCGCAATTTTATTAAGTATTCATATTTAATAATTCACTAGCTGTCGCCCGCGACTCCGTCCACTAGTAATGAAACAAAAAAAACTTAACAAGTATCCTGTATTCTTCCAGATCCGTTGAGCTGTTTCATAGATACCTTCAAACATCCATCCATCTAAACTTTGTTTTTATAATTTTAGTATGCCAGATTATATTTTGTTATCGTATTTTATAAGATATGGTAATATTATGTCATATGTATGTAACGCATGCTTACCGCTTTTACTTTGATAGCAATCCGCGCAATTATATTTTTACGACTTACGAGCAATTTCCATTTCATCAAAAAAAAAAAAACTTTTATTCTTGGTAAACTTCAACTTTATTAATATTCAAATATTTTAAACGTACGTATCGAAATACGTTCATCTCTTTATTTAGTACCCATATTAATAAATTAAATGAAATATTTTCGTTAAACGAAAACAGAATTGAAATTTTTTTTCAATAGGTTCAAGTTCGTAGGATTCATTGAATCATTTTTGCCCAAAACACATGATAAATCCAAAAATTACTTGGCTTTAAAAATTATTTTTGTCATTAAATAACACTTAAGGCAAAGTCTCACGAATTTATTTAATACTGGCCGTCGCCAACTTCGTCCGCCCGGAATTAGAAAAAAACGTAATTAGTAGCCTGTGTTCTTCCAGACTATTTTCTACATGTATGTCAAATTTTCAAGGACATACCTTCCAACAGACATCCATCCAAAGATTTTCTTTTATAATATTAAGTAAGATCTATGACAATATCCAATAAGCTATTAACAAGTGAATTAGAATAACTTTTAGTGTCAATTACACATTACAGATAGAAAAATATTAGCCTCTGAATAAACATTTCTATTTACAAACTGTGAATTGGTTTAGTAGTTTTTGAGTTTATTTGGAACAAATGTATACAATTTTCTTTATACAATTAGTAAAGTTAACTTTTCAATAACTATTTTAAATTCCAATTGTAAAGAACTAAATAGGTGTGAAGCATAATAGAATTAACTTATAAGTAATCTTAAGTTTTTACACGTCTATTGAATATTTACTTCCTAAGTTATTACATAAGTAAAGCCTTGCAGCAAACAATAATGTAAATGCAATTGAAATATTTCTATAGCTAAGTTCATAATTATGTTGTGATGAAGCGATTTTGTGCCAATTATTATATTTAAAATGCTATTATATTAAACTAGCTGTGCCCGCAACTTCCTCTTAATAAGCCTATGTCTGTTTTCATGCGGAATTAATTTTATTTTGTAAAATTATTCATATCCTTTAATACTTCAATTACAATTTAAATAGTATTTTTTTCGATTATTATATGAAAACAATTTTAAACAAGAGCAGTAAAAAAATTTAATTTGTTCGTCACTTGAGAATGAATATCTTACCATAATGTAGCCCAAATACTCAACATAACAGCTATTATTTAGTATGTGTATGTAATATGCATATAAAATAAATAAGAGTCAAATACTATTTTACCAAAATAGGTTGATAATAATTTTCCTCAACTATTAATCTAAGTTAACAGAGATAACTTTTGTGACCTCCTTCTTTATTATATTGTTTATGTTTTAATATTTTTATGTGATTTTTCTGTAATGGTAACAACTCTCTTCCTGTTTTATTTTTTAGTATTTTTTTTTGTAAACAACATTATTTGGTTAAATATAATCAATATGTAGACAAAGTAATTTATTGATGCTATATAATATTATACAGATAAGATTGTGTTTAATAAATTATATTTGTTGCAAGATATATGTGGATATAGAGAAAACCTATTTAGTTAAACTTACCTTCAATGTCTATATCATTTTCTATAATTTCCTTAACTTCTTTGCGAGCATTTTTCTTTAAATGCTGTTTCACTTTAGCCAACAAATTGTTACTATCAGTCAATTGCTGATCCATTTTAACCTGAAGTTTAACTAGTCGATCTTCTAGATGTTCTAGTTTATGTTGTGGCGGTGCTGACGCCGGGACCTCTAATAGTGATAAGTGAGATACTAAAAACCATATCGTGACTAGAGCAACAGTTATGATTATCAATCTTCGTAAGTTCATACGCATTTTGAACATCGTTTATAAATTCAATAAATCATTAAACTGATCAAGTGCATTGCACTATAATGTATCTGTTACTTCTCGTGGAAATTAAAATATAATTTGTAAACATATCATGAAAAAATAGATATGTTCGGTGCAAGAAAAATGTTATAATAGATAATATCGGAAACAACTAAACAGATTTGAATCATATATTTGAAAAAGTCACTTGTTTCATTCACCGTTGTTGATAAATGTGGAAAACTGTTATTTAATTGAGTATATTTTAATATTTCGTGGCGAAATAAAAAATCACAACAAAACAATCTACAACCACAATCACTCTCCGTGACACTTATGTGAGTGACACTGACGCGTGACACGTTGCGTCAAAAAGCAAAATGACTGACTTTTGTTCAAAGAGTATGTAAACTAGAGGCCAAAGAGTGTGGAGTTATCATTGGTAACTCAACTAAAAGTTCAGCTCACGGTAAGTAGCTACGTGGTTCAAGTTTATCCGAGCTGAACTGGTTCAGAGCTGATTTACACATGTCTAGTATGTAACGAGCGGCTGAGGGTTCAGATATTTTTGATATCCTACACCATACGATTAGACACTGTGCACAAATATGAACCTGCGTTTTTCGTGTTAGCTACCTAAGAAGCATAGTTATTAATTGCTTTTAAAAAAAGGACTACAACATCCGTACTTTAAGTACGAAAAAGAAAGTGTGTTTATGATTCTTAAACTTTTATTTCTGTACATTTTTGTCAAATTACTTATACTACCTTATATGCTAAAATTTTCTTCCAGTCTTCTTAAATGATCAACGTTTGCTTCCGGAGGTGAACTGTTGTGGTTCAAAATGTTGTTTTTATAAACGTCTATGTTTCTTTGCACCGAATTCATATTATTATAAGCTTCTCTGGGTATCGGAAGTAATCTATTTTGCGCGTGGATTTTAAGATTATTTGCTACATTTAAATTACGTTCCATATTCAAAAAAAGTCTTTCGTTCGGATAAGTTGCCGGCGCAGGGGGTACTAAAAACGGCACATCGGGTTTTGGTATGGTTCTAAAAAGGTTTCTGTCCAATTGACCATTATTATTCACATTGCCAATGTTATTTAATGATTTTAAAAACGGTTGATGGGTGGCCGGCACTCGGTTTGGATAGTTGAAAATCCAAAGTCGATCTCCGACGAACATTGGTCTCGGTGTCATTATACCTAAGCTACTATAATACTGTTGAGCGAGGAGTTCAACATCGTTCGTATATTTCCTCTTCCATTTTGTGCGTCGATTTTGAAACCATATTTTTATCTGTAACAAAACATATTTACTTAGATATTAAAACTAAAAAAAACTTTAATTATAGTGAAACGGACTAGACAAAGAGCCGCTGCCAGCTTATCTTGTAGCTCGCCAAAGTTTTGATAATGGCGATTAAAAAAATAATTTTTGTCTGTAAAACCATTTGTTATGCTTATAACGTTAAGATTTTACCTGTGTTTCCGTTAGTCTCAATTGCCTGGCGAGCCTGCCTCTAGCCGCGACGGAAAGGTATCGGTTCTTTTCGAATTCCGCCTCCAAACTCTTTATTTGTTGAGCGCTGAATGCAGTTCTAGCTCTTTTACCACGAGACGATGATGGTCCTGTCAAGAAAATACAGTATTGCATTGTCCATTCTATTTCAATAGACGAGAGTTTTATAATTTTCTAATGTGAACTTTTAAACTTTACGAAGTACCGTTCACTATTCATTGCTTTGATACTAAAGCGCGCGATTGTATCCACCACTGAATCGATTAATCATTGATTTATGGTTTAAGTATAATACCTATATAATTCTAAAAATATACACATATACGTCCAAATATTTAATTATCCCGAGAACTAACTTCTTTTCTTACAATAAGTTGAATAGCTATTGAATTAAAAAATATTGAAATTATCTTGTTCCCGGCTGTAAGCAGAGCGGACACGGCATGTCATCACCTTGCAGCTATTTTCAATAAACACCTCTTCCCCGTGAGTAATTAGTGGTAATATATCAACATGTCATTCTCCTGAGCGGATACGGCGCTATCTCGAAAATTGTACAAGCAGTAGTCTTTTGGCTCTCACTAATGAGCTTGTAAAATCAAAAAGTTTATATATAATCACCGTTAATGATTTTTGAAGCTTTGATTATAATACTAGCAACCAAGAAAGTGACGTTTTTATAAGTTGAAAAATATTAGTAGGAACAAAAATATACTTGCGGCAACTCAACGTATGTAAACGATTTATAATGTCGTGTAAACGCTACGTTTGATATACGCGGTGTCGGAGTGGTGCTAGTTTCTTTATAACAATTTTACAAGACACGGTGTCACAACAAGTGTTATTTTTTTATAAATACGTTTAAAATATCTTCTTAACTATTCTTGTTCATAACTTTTTAGCAGGTTTCGTTAGAAAATAGATTTTTTTTGCTATTCACTTGTAACAAAATTATGAATATAGATATTTATTAATGTGTAATTTTGTGAATATTTTTGTTCCTTCGTAAAAATCACGAGGGCACAATTCGTAAATCTAAGCAAAATTTTACAATTATTTCTTTTCAAAAGCATTTCATTTCTAGTATTTTTATTTTGACTTCGTCTCTTCTTTATTAGGGTATATTTATAACAATGAAAATAGTTCAAAGCTAGCAACTATCAATACCTACCTATAGTAATTTAAAAGTAACAAACTTTTTAGGTCTGTACAGACCAATGTAACTGTTTATCACATCACTTCCAATTATGTAGTGTTTAATTTAATTACCGACTAAAATTAGTCCATTCGCTTTGTTAGGTAAACGCGAACAACAAAACATGAGTGAAAATGCGTCCGCGCTACCCAGAGCCACTGGTATAAAGCAATTAATGTCAATATATCGTCACATGTCAACGGTCGATGTCTTTGTTTCGCGCCTCTGTTCCATTAGCAAAGTTACACTTGCTGACATCGAGGAAACATTTTGTAATTTATAACCTCTATCATGCATAGCAATAAAGTTAAATATCGAATGGCCCGTGTCATTCATCGATGCATATACGAAGATTCCAATGGTCGACATAAACACATTCGGAAAACCTCCCATCCGCTCGCTGGTAATAGAATTTTACAGCTTTTTAATGAGCCCAAACCGCTTACTAAATAACGGCCGCGGGACGGTTCTTTTCATCTTTATTTCCCTTTTTTCAACTCTGTGAGTAATTACAAGAGTGAAAGATTTAGCTAACGAGACTCGGGAGGAGTAGAGATTTATCTTTTTCAGAACAAATTTAGAAAATGAGACATCAATGCACGGTTGGCTCGCCAGTGTGTGCGTGTGTCCAATAAATTGTTTTATTTGTTTGTACGAACGAGACGTCAGGGAACCAATTCAAACGGCTAATTTGAGTCCCGCGGCACGAACATAAAAAACCTAGGAGATGTTTAAACGTTGACTGCTCGTAAATAAATTAGCACGCGATTTTATTTTGCGATTGTTCGTTTAAAGGAATTATTGCTGATACATTGAATACATCTTTGGATAATTCAATTTTACTTTCGTTAGATACTTCGAACGACATTTTTAATTGACAATTTTTTTTACATTCATCAGATCAGAAGTCATTGATCTCATTGGTTCTCAAACTTTTCTTTTACTACTGGACTCTTGGGAAGCGAAGTGTTTGACGGAAACTAGGTTTGAGTATTCTAGGCCCTAGAATTGTCGTAATTCAGTTCACGTCCTAAGTTTTTAATCTTTTGGAAACTGATTATCCCTTTAGTATTTTTTAAAAAAATGATCAGTACCTATTTTCGCGATACAAAAGAAAGGTACACTTTGAGAAACACTGGTCTACGCACATTAATCAAAAAAAGTTAATCTTTGGCCCTGGATCTTTTAAAAAGTCAATATTATTTTAGTTGTACGCTAACAGACTTACAACTCAAATAACAGTTAATTGGCGCCAAAAATACACATGACGCGCAGAGGCAGAGGCATGGCGTATAATGTCAAATGACTCGTGAAGGCGCGAAGTTACACAAAGTTTTTTTTAATTAATTACCGTTACTCGTGTTACTGCAGCTCGTCTTACAATGATTAATACTTGGAAGTTTCTTATTAAACATACAGAGGTGCTGTTTGCCTAATATTTTTTCCGTTGCAATCGCTAGAGTAGAGAAGTTTAAAAGGAGTACTTAATTGGCTTTGTGAAATTACTTTTTACGATTATCATGCGAATGTTTGGATGGATGAATGTTTGTTGAAGGTATCTCCAGAACCACTGCATGGATTTAGCTGAAATTTGGTACAAATGTGGAACATAGTCTGGAAGAACGTTAAGGCTACATTTTTTTTATAATTCCACGTGGACGCAGTCGCTGGCGTCAGCTAGTAAGTTTGTAAATTTTAAAAATCTATCTTACAAATCTATTTTTGGGAATCTAAACCTAAACCTACAATATAAATATGTTAGACTTAGCGCTTAAGGTATAATATTATTATAGAATAATCAAATATTATTAAGTCTAAATGACTGGTGACAGTGGTAGCGTCTGCAGCAGCGTGCGAATGCAATACCTTATCACAGAAGACGAGAATGTAGTGAAAATATTTTCGCGTTTTGACCGATATGTGTATCGGACGCCGAGCTCTTACCCCTTTTCGTTCTTAAGAAGGGTAGGAAAGTGGATCAGTGAGAAAAAAGGGGAAATATCCTTTTAGAGATAAGCTACGGATCTACATCTTTTTTATGGCAGATATCTATGGGCAACGGACATTTCGTTATTTTAGCGATTTCACGTGGCCACTAGCTAGTTTGCCATCTCGTACAAAAAAAATAATATTTAATATATTGATGGTCATTTAAAGTCCTTTCCCATATTATTTTCAGGTAGAGAATTAACCGAAAAGATACTGGACTCGATGAAAATATATGATTAGCGATATGGTTTAAATTTCGTACCTATTTTTCCTTTCCCTATAATATATCTACATTTTCCTACGGTAATCAAAAGTTGTTCAAAAAGTTTTTATGTGGGTTGCTATACCACCCGCCTACTGTTTCCTAAATGCATTTAGAAAATAATTAAGTAATGGCTAAATGGCAAACAATGGAAAATTATTTTATCTTATTTAAGATACTAGCTGTCGCCAGCGACTTCGTCCGCGCAGTACTATATAAAACCTAATTAGTAGATAGCCTATGTGTTCTTCCAGACTATGTTCTACGTCAATGCTAAATTTCAGCCGGATCCGTTCGGACGTTTGGAGATACCTTTAAACAAACATCCATCAATCTAAATATTCGCATCTAAAATATTAGTATTATAGTAATGATTATGATTGTGCGATGATGATGATTATGATTCCGCAAACATATGGACTAAACTTTTCTTTCATATTTCTACTTTGCGGGGTGTCCTGCTGTTAAATAGATAGATATTGAAAACCGTAGATTACGCGTTTGAAAAAAATCTTATGAAGTTTTTAAAGATTTCATATGGTTTGACATATTATAACGATATGTAGGTCATAGACAAAATGCATTTTATCGCTGCGGATGCGCAGAAGGATAAGAATAAGTAAAAGTTTTTCACATAAACAAGCTCAGTCGCATTGATTGTTTGAATTAACGGGGATGCCATCAAATATCTCTAGATGAATGAATTTTGAATGAATGATGTTTAACTGGCAAATTGTTCGGCAATTAAATCTTTAGTAAATTGGTTACAATAATAAACTAACCTGGTTGTTGATAATCAGGAGATTTAACATCCGTGAAGTCAAGACAGTCGCCTGCGGTGGAGCTTTCCACGTCTACCTGCTCAGAACTATCGCTTGCTTTGTCCTCGTCTTCTGAATCATAAGTCTGTTCTTGATTACACAAATCTTTATAAAGATTCACTGATTCGTTTACGCACGCGGCGCTACCAACTTCCGATGTGTTTCTATCTTCAACGCGCTTTTCAAATTTATCAGCCAGTAAATTATCAATCGAAAATGTAAGTTTAGTTTCTGTTTTATCTATTTTAGGATCTGCAGTTTTAATTTCTTCTACTTCCATTGCATCACTTATTTCGGAAGACATCGCGTAATTTATTTTTCACTTCTCACAGGCTCCTGCGTCCGTACCGCGTAGAGTCGAAGAACATTTTAAAGTTTCAGAATCCAAAACACTTTTTCTCCTCCATATCTGATTTAGTGTCGGGTAACTCACACACGATAATAATTTAAACCAATTTGAAACTCTAACGACGCGTTTTTGTCAAATTGGATCGCTGAAACGACTGCGAGTGGAGAATGTTAACTGCCTCTTCTGAAAAGCACGTCCGACGATGCGCTGTTAATTGTGTCCTCCTTATTGTTTAGAGCATAGGGTTCAAAATCTTTTAAAATTGTAAGATTTATCGTCCGACTGGGATACCATCGATCGAAATTAAGATGGAAAACCTCGACTAATGGGCGTCTTTGTGGATGACAATATTGTATGCCACATTTAGCAGCTTTACGATGTATTTTAACTTCTACTAGCTACAGTTAAAGCTTAAAATCGAATATTGCTTCTTAAACGATGCAAATAGCTCTCGAAGACGGTAGTGTGATATAATTAGCAATAAACCAATCAGGGCGCGGTGGGCGTGTCGGTAAAGGCACGGATGCGCCCGCGCACGTCTCCCCGTACATCAAATTGGTATTTATTTAAGGAGCCGCTTGAGATATGCGCATCTTCATTAATTGTGATAATTATTTAGTTAGTCGGTGTAATTGGACGCGTCACGTATGTGGGACAGCGCACAGCATCCCGCCCTGGGGTTATTTATAGCGGAAAGATCGTTATTTATTGATAATTATTGTCGCCGTAATCACTTACATAGTAATTGGGCTTAAAACTATCACATCATGTTTAATATACGAGCAATTTGCACCAGATTAATGATCCAAAAATTAAGCGCTATTTCAATTTCAAGAATGATTCGTAGTTTATGCGTAGGTATTTATTATTCAAATTATTTTATTACCCAACGTTTTCCGTCGCAAGATTTTTAAATACAATACATACGATAAGATAAGTTTTATTAGGGTACCACTGCTTTAGCGTTCTGCAATTGTTTTGCTTCTTCACGGTATGTAGTAGCCTACAAGTAGACCTATTCCCGACAAACAAAAATACGAATTTATGTATGTAACTTCTAGATCATATTGTAGGTTAAAATAAATTGTTTTTCTTATCGAATACCATTCCATCATCTTCACCTAAAGTACAGATTAAACTGATATTATATAATTACGGGATTGAACAAAGTTCCCCTACCCTAAAACCCTATCGGTGTAAAAATTTCACCGCTCTTTATATTTCGTAGGTATACTATTGCAAGTTGTTAGGTATGCAGATAATTAATCTGTTAAACTAGAAACAGTAATCTTGTCTTGCCAACATAAGACAGTGCCAAGATTTAATAGAGCCGAAACTAATGTTCCTCATATTAAAAGCAATAAATTAAAAACAAAAAAACACGGCCTTGTTGCCCCTTCAAATAACCGACATATTTTGTCATAATTAGGCGCGCTCTGTGGCGCTTCTTTTTTTTCTTAATTTTTTGTTGACAGTGACTTATAACGATCGCTCTGTTAAGCTACCATTCGCTAACTGAACTTATTGAACGTATTTAGGATGTAAGAAGTAAAATGGAAATAAACATAAATTCTATCTTGCTTCTTACTAATACTATAAATGCGAATGTTAAGATGGATGGATGAATGGATAGTTTGAGGGTATCTCCGGAACGGCTGCATGGATCTCGCTGAAATTTGGGATAGATGTAGAACATAGTCTGGAAAAACACATAGGCTACTTATTAAGTTTGTTTTAAATTCCGCGCGGACAGAGTAGCGGGCAACAGCTAATTTATCGAGAATTGTTCAGATAAAATATGTGAGACAAGAAGAATATTATAAGTATGTAGTTACAACTACAAATGAGGGATTAACCGATTATAGGGAACACATTTTCTAGCAAGAACTTATATATTTTTGTAATATATTAACCCAAAAGCCGAATTCGTCGTGCTAACGTCGTAACAATCTCCTAGGATCTTTCCGTATAACCATAGTGGGCTCCTTCTTCCTTTCAGATGTTAGTCTTATGCCTTTGATTGAGGGCTTTGTAGACTGTATAATTAGTTGATAAGAAAAATATACAATTACATATTGCAAAAATAGTATTCTTTGTTCTTCAATATAGTTTCCGGCAATAAGTTTCTAGAGGTGTATAAAAAGTTAAATATTTGACAAGTCGGCGCTGGGACTTGTTTCCGCATATTTGACTGTGGAATGCGAACTTTCAACCCTGGCGCTTCTAAATTGCTTCGGTATGCGGCGCGAGCGCGTCGCCTACAATGATTTACACGTGTAGGGGACGGCCCAGTTTGTTCACAAACTTAATTAGACCGGCACCGATGAGTATGGAGGAAATTCAATGAAATAAAATATTATAGGTTATTGCGGCAACTAGGAGAGACTGAGATTATTTATCAAAGGGACTCGTTTTTGCATTTTTTTCGTTTTTCTCTGATGTCAGAACTCCGAACAGTCGAATTGGGATTTGCTGTAGAACCCTAAATACGTTGATCTTTAAAGTGATTTGTTGGTCCTTCCTCAAAACATAATCTTATCCAGCATGTCGGAGAAGCACATTCGGACTGACCGGGTTTTCAAATAAACTAAAAAAGTAAAACTGAGTTGATTTAAAAATCGGTATTTAAAAAATAAGCTTTTTTTCGATTTGCGATGTATGACGTCACAATATGGCGTGGGATAATGGACATTTTATTTGTAGCGTATTTTAATTAACGTAACAAAATAAGTATATAGAATTTAAAAAATCTTAAGTAGCCTGTGTTCTTCCATGCTATGTCAAATTACAGTGAGATCCATGCAGCTGTTCTGGAGATACCTTCTAACATCCATCCATCCAAGCATTCACAATTTATCTTATTAGGATTAGTGTTTTCCTTATGCATTTATTTGTTTAAGCATTCTACCTTACTATTTAAACACAAATGGAAGTAATAAAATATCACATGATATCTACGACACCATCAGTCTTGTTTTTTTTTTAAATTTTCAAGCAATGCCCACGAGTCCATCCTCTCAGAGTGTGATTTTATTTAAGTAACTAACTAAGAAATGGGAAAAAATAAGGAAAAAAAACATGGTTTTAACAACTTTTATTTTGCTTTTTTTCTTTTCTTTTTAGAGTTTCTAATAGATTTAGAGTCTAAATCATCATGGTCTGGAAACAGATCATCTAAAGTTAACTCACTAATATCACTGGCATCATCAGAATCGTCTTTTTCTTTTTTGTTTGTATTTTCTTTTGTTTCTTTCACTATTTCCTTATATTTTCTTTTTTTATTTTTCTTAACGTTAACAATATTATCATCAACTATCTCGTATATTTCCTTTTCTTTTTCATTACCTGTTTCTAGATCTATTACATGAATTTCATTACCATTTGTTTCACATTTTTCGTCTAAGTCTTTATCGCGTTTTTTCTTTTTCTTTTTAATTTTTACAGGCATACTGTCAGTATCATTTTCCAAACTATTATTTTCCACAATTAGATCATTGACTTTTCTCTTATCTTCTATACTTTTACCTTTCTTTGTGTGAGAATAACCAATATATTTATCTTGATTTAATAGAACTTGCTCCTGTTGCTCTATTCTTGCTAATTTACCCAAAGCTTTAAGTCCATGGCGTGCACCTCTGTAAATTAAATAAAATTATAATTAGTTTACTTCATAAAAATAATGATGAATCATTTTAAACCAAAATATATGATTGTGTGGAAATAATTTCGAATCATATGCATAGCATGGGCGACGCCATAAAGGTTTAGGGGTGCACTTGCCAACCCCTAGATATAAAATATAAACTACTTCTAAAGACTTCAATACTAAGAATGTCTATAGATCTATATAAATAAATCAAAAACTACTATTCAGTCTTCCTCCTTCTTCTAACCATTGGAGTAAATATCTTTTTTTAGTACCTTCCTCCCTAGATAGTCTAGATTATCTGCTAGCAATGCTCTTAATGCATCCAGTTTAAAATTAAAATACATAGTGGTAGAAGGTAATAATAACATACTTATGTGCTGTTCTGCCTTCACAAGCTGCAAATAATTCTTCATCGGTCATTTTAAATACATCTTTTACAGTTTTTTCAATTTCCAAATCACTTTCATTAACATTTTCAACTTTTGATTCTCCATTATTCAAAATGGCTGTTTTAACAAAAAAGTCTGTGTACTGTTGATCAGATTTTTCATCTCTCTTACTTTTTTTGATCTGCCAAGTGTTATTTGTTATTTCAAATTCTGATGAGTCCTTTCTTTTGATTCTTTTGGTTTTTCCATTTTTATTCTCAACCTTTAAAAATATAAAAGATACTTAAGTCTTAAGTTTATATAAAATATTTTTGATTACACATCTTAATTTAAACTTTTTTATAATTTTATTTGTTTAGTCTAAATATTACAACAATTTAATTTTAATGCTCAAACAGCAATAAAATATAACAATTTTTGCAAAATTAAAAAAGGAACATCAATATACCTCCAAGTTCTTTGCAGCTTTGTTGTATAAATCATTCCACCAATGCTCTGTGAAGTCAGCTGCAGGATCATGCCCAACTCCCGCTACACTTCTCTTTAGCTTTGGTTTCAGTGCTTCGGAAATTCCATTCTCATGCTTACCAAGCCCTTTGCCTTAAAACAATTATTTATTTATTATTTATCAACATTACTAGATCTGTACCGCTTCAAAAAATTCTAACAATAATCAAATATGTTTTATGAGTTACCTGCACTCCAACCATACTTTTCCAACTGCTTTCTTGCAAAATCCATTGTATACAAATTTTATTTATTTTTAGTTTATATTTACTCTTGAAAGTAAATCAATTTTCTATGATTGCAAAGTATAAATAACCTATACTTTAAAATTACACCAAAAGTATTTTTGTACTGGACAAACTTTTATTAGTGAATTTTCAAACAATTAACTTTTAAAATAAATAATCAACGGCAAATCTTGAAGTTGCCTTTTGGTTATGATTAAATTCATAAAATGCAAGTGCATTACACAAACGAGTACTTCAAACACATGTTGAATTAATGACATTGACAGCAACAAAAATTGGTTTGACAGGTAAACAAGACGGAACCAAAACCAAAAAAAAAACTATCTTTCATCGGAGCATCGGCTGCAAGGTTTTTAGCCGAATTCTGATTTGAAAGTGTATTTTAATTTAAATATTTACATACATACAGCTCTTTTTAGAAAAGTAATATAGAAAATAAAATTTCGCAACTAGAAGATATAGTAAAGTTTATTTAAAATATTAAGAGGAATGTCTTCTTCCATTTGAAGTTTTTATTTTCATGACATATTTACATATAATTTAGATTTTATAACTGAAATTCTACTTTACTTGGCCTTCACGTCGTTGTTGAAATCATCAATTGTCGATTCATTATTTCTGAAAAAACAAAATGATAATTATTTTTCTATTAAAGTGCTTATAAGTTCACATATAAGAGTAAAACTTTAATAGAATACTTCACAAAATATTTCCTATTTGATGAAAACAAGATTATTATCATGCGTGTCCTTCTTATAAGTCTTATAACTGGGTAGTTTTTAAGTTTAAAATATTTCATGGAATTTAATTGCATGAATCATTATTCATAACATACTGAGAAACATTTCAATGTTTTCTGGCATCCTTACCATCAGATGGACATTGAAACAATATGGAAAAGAATATTTAAATTTCCAAATACAAACTCTAAATTATTTCTTAATAGCAGAAAAGTGATCATAGTTTTTTTCTCTCTGTGACCTTTCCAAGTAAGGCAGCCCATGACTTCCTGTGGATGAGTAATTTTCAAACATTTGATTGAATAGAAGTTCGTCTTTAAAATTTTTCATAAAGTAGACCCAACACTTAATTCTTTCCTTTTTATTTGTACCACTAAAAAAAAAATGTATATTGTTATCATAATAGATTTTATGTGGGAGCTTATGTATAATAGAGTTATAATAAATACATACAGTTTTTTAATATCTACATTGTCTATCTCTCTTATATAGTAATTTGGGTGATCCTCGAGTATGTCCAAATTGCTCATCATTTTTTCATCAACCTCATACACCTCCCCTAAGAAGCAGATTAAATAAAGATTAGTTACATTACATATGACTCGGATATGACGGCTGATGGAGATGTATGGAGGATTAGTACATAGTGTGCTGGCCCTCGATAGGGATAAGGGCAGGTTGATGATGACATTACATAATTGTGCATAACATATTCTATGCTACAAATTTTTTTGTGTGAAAATGTACTCACTCGGCTGGTGCTGCAAAATCTACCTAAAAGTATGTGTGGCTTATGTCTTATTTAAAAGCATGATGATGTGATGGAAATACTACATTAACTGTGGGTTTCTGACACCAAAACCTCTGTATGAAGCATATTGTCAGCCTCACTTTCATCTTTGACAAATCAAAGATAATGTTTTAAATGGCGCCTTTGATCTCAGCAACTCACGGTAAGATGATGATCAATGTCTTAAATACTTATATGTAATAGATAATAACCTTGTACATGATGTCCAACTCCTGGTTTATATAGTACAAATGGTATATTATATTTAGTTCCAATAATTAAAGGATATTTTTGACATGTTTCTCCATTGCCTATAAATTTGCTAACACCATTTTTACGATCAGTCAACCAATAGTGATTCGGTTCATTCTTTTTTAGTGTCCCATACACAAAGACTTTTTCACTCATCTAAAAAGTACATATTTGACAATTATATTTATAATTTTTCTAGGATGGATAGTAAGGGAAATTCTTCTTCTAGTCTTCTTGTTCTTGTACTTTAGTTTATTTGATGTAGACAACAAGCAATGCAGCTCATATCGGATGGGAATATTGAATATCAGGTTTACTGTTTTGCTAGCGATTAACCATAAGACACCATTAATAACCACTCACCTTCCTGGAATGATGTAAATAGCTTTTGGAAGGGGTTTTTAAAAGTATATGAAATCTTGGAACTATCATGTAGTATATTTAATAAAGTTTTAAGTGTAAATAATCATTATCTAATATTTAAAATTAGATACGATATTTCCTGAGTATTCTGCCTAATGTAATTATTATAATATTCGTTATTATTGCGCTCCTTATGGTATAATTCTCACAATTTAAATATTTTTTTAGGGATTTAATGAAATTGACATTTAAATTTGACTTTGATATTTGATTTTGTGTTTGACAGTCGGACAAAAATCTATAAAAATGAAAAAAAAACAGATTTGTGTTGACACATTGGTATGATTATTATAAAATATTGGTTTTTGCAAAGAAATTCAGGCAATTTTAATAAAGCTAGAGAATCGATATATATATATATAGACTAAAGACAGACAAAGTTATCTGACCCGGTGGGCATTTATCACAATTATTATAGCTCATTAGCGCCCCCCTGTCACCATCAAAAAATCTCAAATGACCTGATCTGTTCTGTCATGATGTGTAGCCTCTGTATTCCTTATTTTATGTACTCTTTGGCACTCGATGTCAGTTTTATTCATACGTCAATGTCAGTTGTTGTGAGTTGTGTTCTCGCAGCATCTGTATCTGTCGGTCCGTTCTCGCGATCTTAAAAAAGCTGCAGTGATATTTACTTTTTTCTAAATAAATCATTGTTTTTAAAATACAATTCATAATGTATTTTAATAATTTGTGAATTTTAGTTTGTACTATTTTCAAGAATTTTTCTCTTCATTGTTTTATCTTGATATTAAATAATATCCAAAATGAGATTGGCAGGGACAATTTTCAGTAATGTTACGAAAATGTTGGACTTCTATTCGCAATTTAATCCATCTCCGCTTTCTATCAAGCAGTTTATAGATTTCGGTAAGTAAATATTTGTTTCACTGCTTTTGCATGGTTATGTTACAATGGATTTGTGTTACAGTGTTATATAGATTATGTTCTTTAGCCCTAGAGTCAAAAGTCTAGAACAAATTTTCATAATGCCTTTGTTAAAAATTTACCATTTTAATCTATACCAAAGGCTGTCCAACTTGTTATTATCTTAAAATTCTTATTAGTTATTCTAATTATTATAATTTATGTTTATAAACATTATTGTTAATAGCTTGATTATAGAAGATCTGATAATGTTAAAAGTGATATTTTATAATGAAATAACTAACTTGTTACCTAGTTGCTACATTACTGTAAATCTTAATCTTCTAGCAAAATTAATGTATTAAAATTGATGTACAATGCATTCTATTTTAGCACACATGTTTGGTAAATTGACTCATTATGTTCACAATCTCCTGATAATACATTTTTTATGGTTTTATTGAAGTAAATGACAACTTCCTGTTTGTTTCCATATACTAATTATTTTAACCTTTGCATTAATTTACTGAATTATTTTTATTTTATGTTATGCCTTTGTATATAACCATAATGTGGAATACAATATGTACTAGAATTTTCTTATAGAAATATAATATATCACACAGAGACTAAAGTATTCACTATACATTTAATAAAAGGGTGTTTTAAAATATTACTTTTATGACATATTTGAGTATCAACTCATTGGCTGTTTGACTCCTTCTGCTATAAAAAAAAACAATAATTGCAAAAAGAAAGTATTCATGTTGTTAACTAGTTCATATAATATTATTTCAAGTCATTTTAAAATGTTTTGATTATATAATGAGAATTCTAAACCAATGTTATTTAATTTATTTGTAGTAATTTTATCTGGGACTTATATTTGTGTCATTTACATTATTGAGTTTCATGACAATGTAATTTGAAATGTAAACAAAGCAAAACAATTTAAATCATAACAAATTGTTATCAGTTTGCAGAACAGATG